TGGCGACCGCCGCGTCAGATCAATATTATTGATCTGGGTGATATAAGACGCGAGGGCCCGCGGAGCGAGATAGACCTGCTTGCCATCAAACGCGACACAGGAGCAGTCCACATCGAATCCCGTTAAGATCTCAGAGACTGATTTGTAAATGCGCAGAACGATTTGGACGTGACGAGTGGGATACTGCGACACAATCGTAATGGCGTTCTTGGTGCGGACCGAGGTGGTTTCGTAGATGATAGCATCCTTGATCTTCGTTTCGATCTGCTTGATCTTGTCGATAGCCTGCTCCTCCGTCAACCCATAGAGAAACAGGTCAACATCCGACGCTGGAGTAAACTTCTCGTGATAGTATTCCCGCAGTGACCGCTTTGATCCGCGGTACTTCTCGGGAACAGGCAACAACGAGGTCACCACGGCACTCCCCGCAACCACGACGTTACTCCAGTCCATCTCACTCAAGGCGCCCTCGGAGAAAATGCTGAGATTGTGCCGGAATTCCTCCAGTTGGGGGACCACTGCGGGCGAGCCGTGAGGCTTGCGCTGATCCTCCTTCAGGGGAATCATGTACTTGTCCCGAGTCTCCTGGGTCTCCGCCGATGGGTTGCGTGCTCGAATACGAACATCGGTCGAGCCATCAGGACCATAAAGAGGGACCACATTCAAATCATTGGTCTGCAGGATGGGGTTCGATGGCTCCTGAGCAAAGAGCTTTCGGATCTCGGCCTCATATTCATTGAACGGCTGGACTAACTCGGAGATTGAAGTATCCGGATGGGCCTGAATCCACGATGGAAGATGAGAATGGCTTGTGGGGAGTTTGGGGAGACTGTCTGCCATGATGATACTGCCTTTATGGAGCTGATTGTAGTATGACTCTGCCAGTAGTCGTTGATTGGCAGTTGCATCAAAGCCCGAGAGGTTTCACAGGGGGAAAACGGAAGCAGAAAACAGACAACGATCTAATGAATCAAAGGCACCTCAATGGAGTGAAATAAAGAGATAAAGAGATTCCGAGGCTTGGGATAGTTACAAAAACAGAATTCTCTCCGTCGCTTTTAAATCCTGGGGCAGCATTCAGGCTCCTGCGCAGCCTTGTATCGGAGTTTCCTAATCAGGTTTAGCGGCAGGCGACAGGCCAGGCAGCTCCAGGCAGCTCCAGGCAGCTCCAGGCAGCCTCAGGCCAATCGTTGCCTATCGTGGAAATCAACTTCTTTCATCTTCCTCTTCTTCTCCACTTCCGATCGCCACGTCGATTCGCGTGCTTGTATATACGCACGATGGTTGTATTATGATATGGTGAGAGTCAGGGATTCTACGCTAGTTCTCGTCGCGAGTCAGTGCATTTCCTGCCCAGTATTGAGCGGCTAAAAGGTGAAATCACCATAGATGTGGTTTTTATTGGGTTCATGATCACAGAACTCACATCGCAGGCAGTCTTTGCTTCGGATAATGCCGTTCAGGGATAAAGTCATTTCACTATCTCGTGGTTGCACTGGCCCTGTTGTGATGAGCTGTATAATATTACCACCTCATAGGCGGAATATATATATCTTGTTCCGGCATTCCCCCGATGGGTTATACAAATACTCTCCGAACTGGTGTCATCCCCACATATAAAGTTCATGGAATCTTCAAAGAGGCACTATGGAACGTTCTTGTGGGACCATGACAGTATGGCAGGCCTGCGCCCTCGATCACAACCCCACATTATGTCACACTTGTCAACAGGCTATAATCTGACAGTCGATTCAACACCAATCAATCCCCAGCGCAGAAAAACTGCTGCAGGGCCCAGTACCGTTTGAAATTCCCGTGCTGCCGTCGTCTGACTGACGTCGAAGAATATCGGCCATGCAGTGCCACCCCGATTTTGGCTGGCAACGGCATCCCGTCTAGACAATCTCGGCCATGTTTCACAAGCCACCGAACAGGCTTGCGCGATATTGCCTCAATGGTATGGGCAGTGACTAAGAGCCATTGCCAGCCGACTCGATTATACGCCAATGTGGCGCGTTGTTGCTCTCATGACAGTGACGACCCATGCGCGCCACGCGTGGTGTCAGAACGAGATTCAGTGCGACAGGAACCAATCGCTCCGCGTCACTTTCTATCCCAATGACCCTAGAGCTAGCAATCTGAAGGGTTGCAATGAGTTGATATAGTTACATCAGCCGAGCGTCTCTTCTAGGCTGGGGGACGGTCAGCACCGGGAGGTCTACTACTTAAACACCCCTTTGTTCATTGGAAGGAGCGGGTGGGAGTTCCTCGTCAAGATCGTTCCACTAACGGCACAATCCATCATGAAGACTGTCAATCTCTTTGCGACTATCTTGTCGACCTTGGGTCTGCTGGCCCAGGCTCTTCCCAGCTCCGATGCCACGCTGGACACCATGGCCGCTTCAAATCGTTTGGTCTTTGCGCATTTCATGGTACGTCCCTTCGTGGCTCTGACTGTACGCATACCAATCAATTCAGATCGGCATCGTCAGCAACCGCAACAAAGCCTCGGATTACGATTCTGACATGCAGCGCGCCAAATCCCTGGGCATCGATGCCTTTGCCTTGAATATCGGCGTCGATCCCTACACCGACCAGCAGCTGGGGCTAGCGTACGAATCGGCGGCCAACAACGGCATGAAGGTGTTTATATCCTTCGACTTCAATTGGTATCACACAGGGCAAGGTACCCAAGTCGGACAAAAGATCGCGCAGTATGCAAGCAAGCCAGCGCAACTCATGGTCGACGACAAGGTGTTTGTGTCCAGCTTTGCGGGCGACGGTCTGGATGTCGCAGCGATGCGTTCTGCGGCCGGCCGGCCAGTATTCTTCGCGCCCAATTTCCATCCATCGTATGGGACGAACATGGATCAAGTAGATGGGTTGCTAAACTGGATGGCCTGGCCAAACGATGGCAACAACAAAGCACCCAGGCCGGGTGCGAATGTCAGCGTGCAGGCAGGGGATCAGGAGTATATCAAGGCGCTGAATGGAAAGGCATATATTGCGCGTACGCTTCCTGCATTTTTTTACTTCTTTTTTTTCCACGCTGATCAAGCCCAGCTGCCTCTCCCTGGTTCTTCACGCATTTCGGCCCTGAGGTTTCGTACAGCAAAAACTGGGTCTTCCCGGGAGATCTCCTCTGGTATGAGCGCTGGAACGACCTCCTGGCCATGGGACCTCGTTTTATCGAGATTGTGACGTGGAACGACTACGGTGAATCGCATTACATCGGACCGCTGAGCTCGCCGCACACAGACGATGGATGCTCCAAATGGGTCAACGATATGTATGTAGTAGATGTGATATTTATGCGATTGCAGAGCCCATGCTAATGCGAAAAAGGCCCCACGACGGCTGGCTGGACATCTCCAAGCCCTACATCGCTGCCTACAAGGCGGGGGATACCTCCGTCGACGGTTACATCAAAGACGAGGAACTGGTATACTGGTATCGACCAGCGCCTCGTGAGGTTAATTGCGATGCCACCGACACGTGCATGGTAGGAGCCAACAACAGCAGCGGGAATTACTTCATGGGACGACCTAACGGCTGGGAAAGCATGGCAGACGCCGTTTTCGTCGTGGCCATGCTCAAATCGCCGGCAACCGTGACAGTCAACTCCGGGGGCAAGGTTCAGACGTTTGAAGCACCTGCCGGTGCTAGCGCTTTCCAGGCACCCATGGGCGTGGGATCGCAGTGGTTCGCCCTCAGCCGCGGTGAACAAACGGTATTGTCCGGGACGAGTCTGCTGCCAATCATCGATGGATGTGTCTGTGGGCTGTATAACTTCAACCCCTACGGTATGTACTCCAGTCCTAATAGAAAGCAGTATCCCGCTAACGCATCTCCACAGTCGGCACTCTGCCAGCCCAGCCTCTCGACGTCTTGCAGCCTGACGGTCTCGCGGCTTTCACCTCAGGTCTCAAGGTCAGCACCTGCCAGGCGACACCTTCCCTAGGAAAGTCCACACCGACACCGCCACCATCAGCAAGCACCACCTCCGGCGGGACCGCACCACCAACGACGACCTCGAAGTCTTCCACCACCACAGGCAAACCGCCAACTACCACCTCTCAGCCTACAACCACCACCAAATCTACCACCACCACATCCTCCCGAACCACTACGACAACCACTGGAGGCACACCCCCCGGAACCGCCTGTATCGGAGGAACCGGGCCGGGCAACTACCTCGGTCTGTGCGACTTCTGCTGCCACTACGGCTACTGTCCCCCGGGGCCGTGTACATGCACGAAATACGGAGCGCCGGTTCCCACGCCGCCGACGACGGGTGCAAACGGGGTGCCGCTGGCCGGGTTGGATGATAGTTATCTGGGACTGTGTAGTTTTGCGTGCAATCATGGGTATTGTCCGCCGACGGCTTGTACTACCCGGTCTTAGGTAATACGAACCAGAGAAGCATAAGGGTCGGGAGATTAGGGAGATTTGTTTCTGGTTCTTTGCTTGGGTGATTTACCTTGGACAACGTTGCCAGGGATGTGGCAGTTGTTAAGGCTTTGTACGTCGGTAGCGAATATCACATTGCCGTCTACCAATGGATCTCTTTCTTTTAAAAAAGCAGTGGGGAGTACGAAGATGACAACCAAAGTATAGAACAGAAGGAAAGACAGTCAATAAACAAAGTGGGCCCTATCTGTCGACATATAGAGACTAATGATAGAGTGTTTATGTGAGTCAAGTATTGTAATGCCTTAGGCATCAATACACGGTACATACACAAATTCCTGGCATCCAGGTCATGTGGACAGGGGCTATACACTGTAAATCCGGCGATAAACTCCATTACCCCGCAGAATAACATACCCTGATACTGACTCGTACAATACACCCCATATCCAATTCTATAGAGAGTATGAAACCCTCGAAACTCGGCAGTTTCATCCGCCCCGAGTGGATCCGACCCATGATGATATCATTCCCATCTCCTCTTCCGGAAATCCTTCTTTGCCCGCATGGTTCACTCGGATGTCTTATTCTGGACTATTCCGTACCTCGGTTGATGTCTCTCTTTAAACATGAAACCCATCTCACCTCATCCTCCATACTCTAACCACCCCTACCACCCTTATACACAGCCACCCACCCATCACAGGATTACTGAAGAATGAGCCCCTCTTATCGCCAGGCGATCCCCGTCTCTGTTGTCGTCGCACGCCACTCGATAACCTCCCCTTGCCACCCGCGATGAAGCTTCCTTCCGCCGTCAGACTTGTGGAGGTCAGTCCCCGCGACGGCCTCCAGAACATCAACCACCATATCCCGACCGCGACGAAGACCGAGCTTATCCGCAGACTGCATGCCGCGGGGCTGAGGACGATCGAGGTCACTTCTGTTGTCTCACCACGCGCGATACCACAACTTGCGGACTGTAGGGCCGTCTTGAGTGATGCCTTTGTTCAGTCTTTGTTGAATCGGGATGATGCCGATGAAGAGCGGCGGGGGACACTGCGTTTACCGGTGCTCGTCCCGAATAGGAAGGGTTTTGAGGTCGCTGTGGAGCAGGGGGTGCGCGAGGTCGCTGTCTTCGTCAGTGCCAGCGAGGGATTCAGCCGTGCGAACGTCAACTGCGGCATGGAGGAGGCGCTGAAGAGAGCTCGGGATGTTGTTGGGAGGGCTTCTGCGAAGGGTGTGGCGGTTAGAGGGTGAGTTACTACCCCCCCACCCCTACGATTGTACTACATCTACTGTGGTTCTATAATTTCTATTGGGCTCGCAAACTAACAGGGGCGTCAATAGATACGTATCATGCATCTTCGCAGACCCCTTTGACGGCCCTACGCCACTTACATCCGTGCTACACTGCGTCCGCGAGTTGTTAACGATGGGCTGCTACGAAGTGAGCCTAGGCGATACCCTCGGCGTCGGCACCCCAGAGCAAGTCCGTTCGCTCATCACATACCTCGTTGAACACGACATCCCCACCTCGCGGTTGGCGGGCCACTTCCACGATACCTACCACACTGGCGCGATGAACGTCTGGGAGGCGTACCGTTGCGGGCTGCGCGTGTTCGATAGCAGCGTTGCCGGGCTGGGTGGATGTCCGTATGCGCCTGGGTCGAAGGGAAATGTCGCGACGGAGACGCTGGTGGATATGTTTCATGCTGCGGGGGTGGAGACTGGTGTCGATGTGGCTCGACTGCGCGAGACGGGGAAGTGGATTGCGGCGCGCGTTTCTGCGTCTGCGTCTGCGTCTGAAGCGTCGATGGGGATGTCCCGTGTGCAGTCGAGAAAGGATAGAGAGGATAGTAATGTGCGATCTGAGGGGATTTTGCAGTTCGATGGCGAGGGAGGCTTGTCTATGGCGGCTCATATGGGGCGGGAGGTCGATTGGATGTGTGTTCTTAAGACGATGCTTGGACGGTAGATATACATAGAGTTAAGAGTCACATTTGCATAGCGTTGAATTATTAATTGGATGGTACTCTGCCATGACACCTTTAAACTACCCAGGACACTCCCAGATAGAGGTTCAAATTCTTTTTGGTAACATTGAAAAGAAGACTCCACAACTGCCTGTAGCTGGTCATCGAAGGCGATTCTCTAGACTATCTTAATTAGGTAACTTGCCATGGTTAACTTCCCAATAAGCCAAGCGAAGAAAAAGAGGGCAAAAAGAAATGATGGAACAATCTCTAATGTCTATTGCTCAAACACACCCTTATTTCCCATTGGAAGCCTTTGATCATGTGTACTCCCGATACCCTGGCAACCCTAGCCAGCCAGGTAATATGGGAGGGGGGGGTAGACTTGTTGGCGCCTTCATGCGCTCTCCTCAAGGATTCCAAGCACCCATGAATGAACCTGTGATTCCTTGAATGGTCTGATCTATCCCAAGACCTCTATTATTTATAGACTTGCGAGTCTCGCTCCTAGAGATTTAACACATATATGTGTGTATCTTGTTTACCACCTCAGGTCAACGTGCATTGATCTCGGCCCGAGTTGGTAATCCCCGAATTGATTCTTAGTGTCCGCCTATAATTAATCTAGATATATGAATTCGAAGACGTCTCAGCCTCGCATTACTCTCAAAAGGGATTAGCTACTATGACAAGGCTCCGGTTAAACACCGTTCCAAGAGCAGCAAGGCTGATTTGACTGTTATTATTTGCACTGATGCCCCCTATATCAATCACCTGTCACTTCAAATTCTTCCACACCCTACGAACATGCATGTCCTATCTTTGCCATGGCCTGCCACTCAAAGCACAATACCAGTCTATCACAAATCCCCCTAATCGACTTACCTACCTCCGAAACGGAAGAGATTAACGGGGAGAGTGATCACCAGCACAGTCATAAGTCTCGACAATGGTTCAACCTCTCAACACTCCGCCGTTTTGTATTTCAAGTTCGATATTCACGCCTCCGTGACTACACCTTCAAAGGAACAAACATCCTCCACAAGGCTAAGTCACTGGTGAATCTCAATCGAATCCCCCTGCCTCTGCTTGGTAAGGACACAGATCCTGGACAAGAATGGATCAAGGGCGTCCTGCTCTGTGCCTGGGGATCCAGTGCGATCCTGGCCCTCAACGTGATATTGGCCGTCATTGCGATCGCCCTCGCTTACACGCGGCCCTCAGGTAGCGACACACGTTTCGAATATGCGGAGCTCTATCGCGGTAGCTGCCGCATCACAAACGGCTGGACGACTGGGATGCATCTTGTGATCAACGTCCTTAGCACGGCTCTCCTTGCCGCGAGCAATTATTCGATGCAGTGTCTCAGCGCGCCGTCCAGAGCAGATGTTGATCGGGCTCACTCAAAACGGACCTGGCTCGACATTGGGGTGTTTAGTGCTAGGAACCTGTGGGCCATGGATGTCAAGCGAAAGATTCTCTGGATCATCCTGTTCATAAGCTCAGTGCCAGTCCATATGATGTTGGTCTGCCTTTCTATGGGCATTGTCATTGCTGCGATAAACTAACATCATGACCCAGGTACAATTCAGCCATCTTCCCATCCTTAACTACAAGAAAGCATGGGCTTGTTGTCATCTCAGACGGTCCTGGGATGAGCGAGCTCCTCACCAGAAACAAGGATGAAACCCATTCCTTTATGCAAAAAATCGGTTATAGTCCGGAGGACGTCCATGCTGAATACCTGAATGGAACATTAACGCCACATGAAGACGCGTCCGAGTGTCTAAAACCATACGACATCGATTTCAACACCAAAAGAAGCACACTGTTGCTCGAGGTGCCCGCAGACCACATCAATGGATCCTCTATCGTTGGAAATTTTGATAGGAAGATGGACTTCCCATTCAAACTTGGAGACAACAGCTATGGAGGTAACTTGAATAATCTGACATACCCGGGCTGGTCTTTTCGCGCCCCAGGGAACAATACGTGGCTGCACCTTGGGGACTTCTTCGCTGATCACTGGACTGACATTTACCGTGGCTTCTGGCCTGATATCGCCGCCGACCTTGAGATACTTTACTCTAATATTATCCGCACCAACCCTGGAGAAGACCAACTGCGTGATATCCTGGAGAATTCCGTGACCACATGGGCCAAACAGGTTGATTTCCAATCCAATGGCCCTGGAAAACGTAACACACTAGGGCGCGGAATGTACGTGAATGGTGAGTACCTGCAGCCAGACCAGTTGACTATCTCCAAGTGTTTCAGCAAGGAGCTCGAAGAACAGTGCCAATTCTATTTCAGTCTGCCGATATCGCTTACCGTTATTGGCTGCAACATTGCAAAAGTGATTTGCATGTACTTGACGGCACGATGCCATCGCAAGTCTATTCTTTTGACTCTGGGTGACGGGCTCGCTTCCTTCCTCAACAAGCCTGACGCAACGACCAAGGGTCGCTGCTTCATGTCCAAGTCGGATATGACGACAGGGCAGCGCCCGTGGTGTCGGGGTTCCTCCATTCCTGATACCCTAGATACTACTACGCCTGTGGGCGAAATGGGGAACCCCCAACTTCGTCAACTGAGGAGACATCCCCAACATCTTCCTCGGAGAAGCAGGTGGCTTCGATCACCTGGGTGGAAGCCCTGGACCTTGACGTTGATTTTGTGGGTAACAGCGCGACAGATACGGAACTGTTAACTAACAAGCCATTTTAGCTTCTTTATTTGTCTGGGGGCGAGTATCTTCCTTTTTGTCTATGGACTGAAGGGGGGTGTCCAAGCGTTGGCTCGGGAGATGGGCAGACCGACTGGTGACACGATCATCTACAACGGAGAGAACGTGATTTTGTTGATCCTGCTGGCCAATTCCCCGCAGCTCGTATACTCCATCTTATACATTCTCTGCAACGGCCTGCTCACGAACATGCGCCTCGCAGTGGAATTCAACGAGTTCGCCACCAACCGCAAGCCCCTCCGCGTATCCTGGCCCAAAGGCCAACAGCGGTCGGCATACTACATCAGCCTCCCGTATCGTTACGGGTTCCCACTGATCGCCGTATCAATCATCATGCACTGGCTTTTATCGCAGAGTCTCTTCGTGGTCAAGATCCGCGCCCAAGACGTCCATGGGGATGAAATAAAAGCAGAATCCACAACTGCCTGTAGCTGGTCATCGAGGGCGATTCTCTTGGCGATTTTGACTGGGTCACTTGCCATGGCGGTGCTCATTGGGCTGGGATTTCGGCGTCTTCCCTCTGATATGCCGCTGGCATCATCGTGTAGCGCTGCGATCAGCGCCTGTTGTCATCCTCCACCGAAGGATACAGGAGCCTCACTGAAGCCGGTCAAATGGGGAGAAGTCATAGACCGCCCACGGATATCAAGCAGGATTGAAGAGAGTTCTGAACACACATCAGAAGATGATCATGTAGAGGGCACACAGGTCGGATATGCTCACTGCAGTTTCACATCGGACCAAGTGATGAGGGCGAGTCCTGATGTTTTATACTGTTGACCTTTGTTGATTGAGTACATTGAGGGTTACGCAGTCATATACCAGTAGTAATCATAACTTATTTGGTAAGTTGCTGGTATTACGAATACAGTTGTTTTGCCAGACGGCCAACCGGGCCATCCGCCGAGCCCTATAATCAAGGACATTTCTATAATTAATCCGCCTAGTATCACACTATCCTCAAATGGGACGTGCACGCGTGGGGCTTCTAGCATTATCCCATCAATCAACACCCTCCGTCTCGATCCTTCTCTTCACTTCTCTGCTGATCGATCGGCTAAGCTGAAATACCTCTGCTTACCCACTCTATCGTAGCGTGACGGAGACATTGCCGTCCACCCGGAGGTTACCCTCGTTGGTCGGTTCGACCGTACCCAGCCAGTCATCCATACTACTATGGGAGTGGGTTTCTACTAGTTCGCCATGGACGCGAGAGGCCCCACAGATATGTATCGACAAGTTCGCCAGAGCGTGGCTCTGTGTCTGGTATTGGATCTGGCTTCCGGGACGTCCGGCGCTAATTCCAGCCTGACTTTGAGGGCTGAACCTGAGTAATGCTGCTTGAGCTCGCTTAAATACCAGGGCATCTCTGCGCTGGCCTAGAAGATGACCGAGTCGGTGCCAGCTCTCAATCGCCTGTCACGATGCAGCTGTCGTCTCTGGTGGGAGTTTTGCTTGGGTTAGGGCTCGCTTCTGCGGCTCCCCATGGCCCAGTTGCGCCGGCGAAGCTTCCCTCCATTAGCTCGCTGGGAACGCTCCAGACTCTCAAATACAACAATCTGGGCCCCGAGAATAACGGCACTGCTGCTGTGCTGGTGCACGATCGGCTGTCTGCAAAAGCAGCTCGAGCTCGCTGTGCCGCTATCGGAGAAGCTCTCTTCCCGCTACAGGATACGCCCAAGGCGAATCGCACTGATATAGATTACCAGCTGGACTATCTGGTCTTTGCGCACGACCTGCAGCCATCTGACTCTCTCTGGGTCGGGAGATCGAAGTCCAAAAAAGGTCACCAATGCCCGGCCTATTCCTACAAGCGCAAGGAAATTGTCCTCAAACCATGCGACGCGAAGCTGCCCGCCCTCTGCACCTCCAACGTCCCCCCCACGACCGATCTCAACCGGGCTGCCGTCCCTTCGTCGCGTGTCTCCGTTGCGTCAGATAATTACACTATCACCGGATACCGCGATGCGCGATCGTTTCGCTTCTTGGGCATTCCCTTTGCCAATCCCCCAGTCAAGGACCTGCGATTCGCCCCGCCGCAGCCGTACTCCGGACCCAGTCGCATCGACGCCACCCGTCTGGCTGCCTCGTGTATCCAGTCTTCGTCCGACTACGAATCGCTTGGCAGTGGGATCTCGGAAGACTGTCTCTACCTGAACGTATATACACCTGTTCTCCCCAAGAACAGCCGCAGCCGGCCAGAAGGCCGCCCAAATAACGGCCACAACACCGCACGACGCCCCGTCGCCGTCTACTTCTACGGCGGCGCCTTCACCTCAGGCAGCGCCAGCATGGTCGACTACGACGGCGGCAACTTCGCCAGCCGCAGCGACGTCGTCATCGTCACAGTCAACTACCGCGTCGGCGCCCTCGGCTGGCTCGCCACCGGCAACCTGACAACCGGCAACTACGGCACGCGCGATCAGATCCTAGCCCTGCACTGGGTACAATCGCACATCGCCTCCTTCGGCGGGGACCCCTCCCACGTCACCATCTTCGGCCAGTCCGCCGGCGGCCAGAGCGTCGTCGCGCTCCTGTCCTCCACCGCCGCGCGCGGCCTCTTCTCCGGCGCCATCGTCCAGTCCGCCCCGCTCGACCTCCCCTGGTTCACCCGTCAAGTTTACGCCGACATCGTCGCGCCCGGCCTCGCCAAAGCCCTCGGCTGCGACGAAGACAAGCACACCGAGTCCGAGTCCGCCCTCCTCTCCTGCCTGCGCGCCGCCCCAGCAACCAGCTACCTCGACAACTCAACCGACATCGGCGACGCCATCGACGCAACTGCCAAAGCCCTCGCATCCGACTTCCTCCACGTCAGCAAGCTCCTCGCCTCCATCGAGCCCCTCATGCCCATGATCGACGACTCCGGCTCCGGCGTCATCGACAACCAATTCCACACCCTCCTCGCCAACAACGCCCTCCCCAACGCCGTCCCCACCCTCTTCACAGCCGCCACAGACGAAGCTGCCCTCTACGTCGCAGGCTCCGTCCCCAACCTCGGCGCCACCCAAACCGGCCTCAACCTCCTCCTCTCCATCGCCTTCCCGCCCGACCTCGCCAAATCACTCATCAAGGAGGACGTCTTCCCCATCAACCGCTCCGACCCAGACGGAATCCGCAACCTCGGCGCAGACGCCCTCACCCACAGCGAGTGGTCCTGCCCACAGTCCCACCTCCTCGACATCGCAGCCAACAACACCATCTTCCCCTCCCTCTACGAATTCCAGATCACAAACGGCCACGTCCAATCAATAGACGACACCCCCGAAGTATGCTCCCCCAACGATAACTTCAACGCGACCTGCCACACAGCGGACGTCCTCCCCGTCTGGGGAACCCTCAACTCCAAGACCCACAGCGTCGACCCCTACTACAGCACCCGCGATATCCTCCACTCCCAGCTCCTGCACGACGTCTTTGGAGCGTTCCTCAGAACGCGCAATCCGAACCCTGATCCTCAATTCCTCCGTATTCGTGGACCTGCTTACGCCGCTACCCATGCTGTCTATGGCGCTAGCGATCGCACACCATACACCGTTCCGGAGTATACAGCCGGCGCGAAAAACGTCAGTCTGCTCGGGTGGGACCCCTCGTGGGCCGAGAATCCGGGCCGCTCGGAGAAGTGTCGTGTGTTTAGGGAGTATGGGTTTACGTTTGAGAATGCGGAGTATACTGGTTGAGTATGGATACAATAGTGGGCGGTACGTACTGTATGGTGCCCGTGTTGGTCTTTGCTAGGTTAATGAGAGGAGGATAATGATGTAATGATCGGGGGATGTTGCTGTTTCATTCGGTGTTTATTGGAATCCAACCCTGCGATGGGAGTCATATAGTATATTAATATTGGTAATTCTGGTATACATACATTAAGACTACTGCTACCTACAAATACTACCTATCCCGCCGTCCAGCCACCCCCCCATACATTCAGCACGGAAGCAAGCCAATCTCAAACCAAGGCGAGTCTGGACCTCCTGTCTGTAAAATCAATCGCCAAGTTCAAGAACACGCCAAAATCATGAAAACAACAACAAATGTGCCGGGTATGTCCATCAACCGATGTAGCTAGAATAAGCGAAAAGAAAAACAAAAACAAAAAAAAAGAACAGAAAATCGAATCCAAACCTGAGCGCCCGTGTGCATAATTGACCGTTTTTCTTTTTTTTTCTTTTCTTTCGTCCTTCCTTCTTTGTCTGCCTCTCCCACACTCTCAACGCTAAAAGTAAAAACATAATAAAACAGAGACATAAAGATGAGACTCAATCCCTCATCCAATTATGCCTCGACAGCCACCAAAGAACGACAACCACAACGATAATAATAGCGGCAAAGACACCAATTCCAATCATGCCGCGAATGATACTCCTATTCCGCTTGCGGCGTTCATTCTGGAGCCATTCATCTCTGTATATTCATTCTGTCTTAGTATTGTATTTTAAATCCAAAGATTCTGTACATCTCATAGACCGGGCAAGAAGGGGGAGTAAACATACGAGCACACAGCAGACTTCTTGATAGAAGGAACCTTCTCGTGGGCTGCGATTTCGGCTGACGAGGACGATATGGATGATACCGTCTCGCCCGACCCTGCGACTGGCTTGGATTCGTTTGGAGGGCTGAGCCCTTTGGCTTCTTCGTCGAGGTGGATCGCGCGGGAGAAGCGCCGCCAGAACATGGGGTCGCGGACGAGGGCCATCTTCTTTTGTTTTCTTTGGTGCCCTTCTTTCTTCGGTAGGCCTTGTTTCTTCCCAAGTGGTCTTTTTGTGATTGGGTGATTTTGTGCGATCAATCCAGGGATGTGTAGTTCGAGGTATCGAATGCTAGATCGTCGGCTATCTCTTTGATACGGTTTTTGACGAGATGTAGATTTGTGTCAATATTCGTTGATAGGATCGTTCTGTCTCGATAAAAGTCCAGGTTCACGAGAGAGGGTAGAGTAATAGAGAAGAAAACGAAGGCCCAGGAGACATCGTGCTGTTTGGCCGTCGTCTCGGTGTTGGATTCCTCGGATGCGTGGTATGTACGCTGCTGCGCCAACGCGTTGTGCGCTGGGTGTGGAATGTCGGGGTTTGGTGGTGGTTGGTGGATGTGCATTATGATCGGAGCTTTGAGTCTACTGTTCCATTGTCACCGTAGTCGTCGATAAATTGCATCAAGTTATCCAATATGTGGTGTTGGTGTTCTCGTGCCGTGTTGGTATAGAATCAGAAATAGCACGATGGTGGGGATAATGGCTGACTCATCCAGGTTTATTCTCTGTTTCGTCGCTTCAACAATTTCAGTTAAAATCCTATTTCGTAATCACTGTTTGATTCAAATGTATTGTGGCGATAACTCCATTCCAATATCATCTGATATACTCGGGGCTACCTTCCTAGTCCTCCATGCCACGCCATACTTACGTAGTACATCCAGGCAAACATCTAATAAATATGGTACCACGGTCAGACAACCCAACAAAGCCATTATCCAACGATCACACCAATAACCATTCAACCAACCACCGAGGTTGCAATTCCAATACGCGACCGTGGCCTCCTGCATGGTGATTTGCAGCCGCCAAAGTGGGGACGCGGGGGCGGCAGGTGGGGAGTGCGGAGTGCGGAGCGCCCCGACGCTTTCATTCCATGGTCACGATGCTATCCGCTTTTCTCTTTCTCTGGAGTTACAAAAACATTGCTTTTCCCGGTTGATCCATCGATACAGCATGTCTTCTACTGCGACGAATCTCACGGTCGATGTGCTTGACTATATAGGCGTCATTAAGGTAGGACGGACTGTACCCTGGTGGCTTGGTAGTAGCCTACTACGAGGGTTGGCGAGATCGCTGCTGACGTTTCGCTTTCACAGCTCCACGCGTCGAGTGCGACTGAACCATGGACGGAATCCCTTTTGACAGAGCTGATCACCGCGCTTCGAGAGCTCGATGATCACCCCCGCACCGTCTTGACCGTCATTACCAGCGAGGGGCCGTTTCGGCTGGCGGCGACGCGCATCCGAGGTTCGTCTGGCCATCCCTTCGGCGGCGAGAACAGCGTTTAACCCATATTAGAGTACATTATAGGTCCCTTAATCAGCTCCAACACGGTCAAAATCAAGCAGTACTATATGCGCAAATTCTCCCGCGGTAGGACACCAACCGAGTAACGTAAGAACCCTGTGCAGCGACTGACCCCGCCATGTCAGAACTCCTCAATCTCATCGTCAGTCATCACAAAGACCTCGCATTTGCCCTAGACAATATCCCCGTATGGGGCGGTCCCGCGTGGGTCCAAGGCGCGGTTGATCTCCTTGCCGTTGCCTCTCGTACTTATATCCGGTCGGGTGAGGCCAACACAGCTTTAGAGAGCCACAACCCCCATGGGTTGGACACCCTCGGACCGGCGCTACAGCATCTACTCGAGGATATCGATCGGCTTTCGGATATTGCGTTCAGTGGGGAAGACACGATGGCTGCAGCGGGCTGGGGAACGGGAACGGTCCTCACCACGGAAGAGCTGCGCTGTGCGTTGGATGCGGCGACGGTGTCGAGTGAGCGGTCGGTGGACTGGGCGGTGCTGGATCGCTTCTTGGGTACGATGCAACACATCGCTAGTGGTATGTCCTCCTCCTCTGTTGTATGATGCTGGTGTGGACTGCGGCTAATATGATCGCAGCTGGCAAGGCCAGAGGTGGGCGCATCAAATCGTCGTTGTGAGGAAGATTGGGTCTGCGTTTGGAGTTTTTATTGTCCCTGGAACGTATCAAATTAATCTTGCACGCAGTAATGGCAGGGTGTAGTCATTGAGTGGGATGTAGGGGATTGTGTGTGGTTGCATGTATATAGGAAGACCATATAATTGCCATTGATACCTTTCAAAGTTGTCAACCCCAACCAGATCTAGGTACCTTCACAGGAATAGGACCGAAAGGAAGAACAGCCTTTGCAGATTAAACGAATGTGCAGGATGAATTATTTGAAAACATCTATGTCTGGTCCCACGCGATCACGTGGGCCAGGACCACCCTTGCGTCACCCAAGACTCCCTTCAACGCGACCTCGGCATCATCACATCTACACCCCTGACCATCTGACAGCATGACACATACGTTGAGGGCAACCCCCAGGTATCATCAAAAAAAAGCAACATTGGAATCCTTCCATAGTCACCCTCCCCTGTCCCAACGCCAGGGGTCATTTCATCAGCTGCGGGAGTCAAGATCGGCGATGAACCCGGCCCAGATGTCTCCACGGTGGATCCCTCTGGGACACCGTGGGCACTAATCAAGAATATCTAGACCCGCAAACCCGGAAAATTTTTGCAAGCGGCGTCAGATGGCTGCAGGGCGGCTGGCAGGGCGACATATCACGGCACTGGGATTGTTGCCTGGTCCGGGGTCTGGGGAGGGACCGACCTGAGCTGCTGGCCAATGGTACCACGGAAGAAAAATTGAACTGGGGGCCTTTAGTTTCCTCAGATTCGTACGGTCACTACAGTGGGATCTGCGTCGGAAAGGATCGTCGGCATTCCTTGCTTGCTTGCGGTGCTGTTCGGCGGTTGATATGTTTGTTGCATGGCTGTCGAAGTTGCGTTATACCCCTGGTTGCACTTGGAGTCTAACGTGCATAGTGCATGGTTTATGATGTTCCATGGTTTGTGTCATTCAGTGGTGTTCGCCTGGATCCCCACATCTAGGAACTCGTTATCTCTGGACTCAATTTCCTCAAGCCTCTTTCAAGATGTGGACACAACTGTCGGTCAAAGGCTGGCATCCGTGCTCAAGCACACGCCGAGGTATACAGAATATACGCCAACAATCCACCCCAACAGTATTCGACGGTCATATGATGACGCGACCATATGTCCTTGAATCGTGCTCCGCTAATGGTGTCTGATCGGTAATCAAAAGGAGAAAACCGGATCTATTTACAGATGAAGGTTGGAACCTTGGGACGCTGCCGACCCAAATCATGGAGCACACTTCCCCACACCCACTCTTGAAGGAAGATACCGAATTTCGCATCGCGATCTGGCTACAGATCCCCCTCGGGGTGACTTACCCTGCTATACACTCGAACATCTGTGGCAAATCCCAACGCATTCGACCCCAGTCTGCCATATCAGACTTTGTCGGGCCAGTCTCGGCCAATACATCAGCGCGCCTAGCCCTAACTCGGAACCGATCGCCGCAGGGATCGGCAGCCTCGGCGGTGGATTCCTGGGACTGTTATTACCATACAATTACCCAATGGGGCATCGGAGGTTATTTAATAAACGGCTAGTCCGTCGGCGGTGATAGTCGCCTGTCATTTCGCTTGTCATGGGTTACTGAATGACTTTGACCTGAATCCCGGGATTCCTGGGGAGGAAACGACCAACAGCAATATTGGATTGATCATCCGCAGCTCACTACTAGTCCTTACAGCACAGGAACAGGATCATATGTGACGGGTCCATTTTATATCCGGCAATTACCATGTTTACCATGATCATGGTCCACGAACCGTCGTGATCCTGTAGACCGTGGGTCCATCACGGGAAGAAGGTGAATGCCAAGCCCAGTTCTTCAGGCATCTGCCTCCTTTCGATCCCTTTTCGTTTTCCTTCGCTCCCTCGACAACTTTCTTCCCCCTCTTCTGCTTCGTCGCTTTATTTTGATTTTGATTTTTTTTCCCTCTTTCCATTTTCTCTTCACTCTCTCTCCCTCTCTCTCTCCCTTCTCCTTCCCTGATCCTTCCTCTCGGTCAATCTCTGTTAATCGTTCTCTCCATCACTCTCGTCATTCGTCAATTCGTCAGCCTCTTACAGCCACCGTCCCCATACGTTCTCCCCAGACCCGCCTTTAAAACACCACCGGTCCCTATCCAACTCCCCCGATCTAGTGGACGCCCTGCACCTCACCTCATTCCCTCACCCCAGAATGCGCATCGCCTTCACCCTCCGTTGACCCCCCGAGTAATGCGCCTTTAGCGATCCATGCCGCCCAAAAAACCCGCCGGTGGGCGGAAAAAGGACGCCATTCACTTCGTTAACGCCCGTCCCGCCTCTGAGAATGAACGGCTTCGGATCCAGCGCCTGGTGCGCGCTCACGTTGGCAAATGGATTTCCGATCAGACCAAGGACCGTGGCGAACCGGGCGAGAATGCCCCAGTCCCTTCCGCAGACCAACCCCGTCCCGCCGACCCGCCCACAAAATCTGAGCTAGACGATGCGCTGGTGACGGTTCCCTCACCCTCCTCCGCTCGCTCGTCCCCGTCGACCCAATCGTCGGGTTCCTCGAACCCGCCCAGCTTCACTCTCGCCGTCCGAACATCGCCCAAACCGACCAAAGACCCCGAACCTCAACAAACTCAAAAGCACTCGGTCCGCACCGACTCCCAGGACGCCGATGAAGAGGAGAAACCAGCGTCGGACCCTTCCAGTCCCCCGCAGCAGTCGGTGGAAGTGATCGGGGCCAGTGCCATGGACCCGTTCGCCACGTATCCGGTCACCTTGCATTACCCACCCGAGTTTGTCTCCGCATGCGAATCTTACTGTTCGTCTTCTTTCCCCCCTCGCGACCCCTTTCTTTTGCGCCACGCTGACGTCCCCAGCTGTGCAAATTCTCTGGCCCGGCCTGACCCCCGGAAACGGCGTGTCGGCCGTACGAAGCTGGTTTCCGCTGTCGCTGTCGGAACCGACCCTGTTCACGACCTTCCTCTACGGGTCTCTGTCGCATCAGCGCGTTCAGTGGATCAACCGGTGGATTCCCGAGGCCGCCTTCTCGCCACGCGACCAGCAGCTGCTCCATTTCTGCGAGATGGAGTCCATCAAGCTGATCCAGCATGATATCAGCCAGCCGGACCGTGCCGTGCAGGATGCCGTGATCTTAAGTGTCATGTGCATGGCGCACAATAACGCCGACATCAACGATGCCCGCCGCCATCGTCGCACCCCGTTCACTCCGCCCATGCAGCGGCTGCAGTGGCTGGATATCTACGGCAGTCTCCCGCCGAATCTGATCCACACCCGGGGGTTGGCCCAGCTGGTCCAGATCCGTGGGGGATTGAAGAATATCCGTCTCCCAGGCCTGGCGCCGATTTTGTCCTTGTACGTTTCCCTGTCCTGGTGCATTTCCCTCGTGAAAATATCCTGACCGAAACAGTTCGGATATCATGACTTCCACTACCTTCCTGGTTCCTCCCGCCTGGGAATTTATCGCCCTGCGCGAAGAACATCAGGACGTCTCGTTGCACGACCTCGTAGGATACAACACCGACATCGCAGAGCAGCAATTCGGCAGCCTGCGCGCGATTGGCGGCACGACGCAGATGATCGACATCTTCTGCGCCATGAAGACCTACATGAACCACGTCGACGTGCACCTGCGTCATCAGCTCTCCACCGATGACACCTCGCTGCTCGCCGACCGCCGCAACCTCATCCAGTACCACACGCTACACATCCCCACCGCCACCCAGCTCGGCGGATCAGCCTACGACCCCCCGTTCGTCCTCTACGAGACCTGCCGCATGACGGCGCTGATCTACTCCGCCGGCGTGGTCTTCCCCATGCCCGCCCAGAGCAATCCCATGTGCCAGCTCGCCGCCTCAGTGCGCAACCTGCTCGTCGCCGCTCCCGGGCCCGAGATCTGGTCCCACCCGCAGGCGCGCGTCATCTTAATGTGGGCCCTCACCCTGGGCGGCATCGCCACCCAGGGCCGTCCCGAACGCCCCTGGTACGTGAGCATGCTCCGCCAAACGACAGCCGACAACCACATCGACACGTGGGAAGCCCTGCGCAAGATATTACTCCTGATGCTGTGGCACGACCCGTCCTGCGAGGTCCCAGGGAGACGTCTGTGGGCGGAGGTGGAAGAGTCCCACACTGCCCCTACTCCAGCGTAATCCCTCTCTATTGATCTCTCTGTCTTTCCTCTTTTTCTTCTTCTTCTTCTCCTTCTCCTTCCTCCATCCCAGCCTCCCTCTTCAGCACTCTCACTCTCATCCATCCATTCATTCCACCCTCTTTCACCCCCCCCAAACGGCTGGTCTACGAGTCTCACGAAATTTCACGAGTTGCATGCGGTTTTTACTCTGCATATCTATCCCATCTCATCCTGTTCCATCCTCCTCCTGCCGGTTTTTGTCTCTCCTATATATGGTAGTGGTTGTGGTTGTGGTTGCGGTAGTACTAGTAGTAGATTCTAATTCTTGTAATGTCTGTTTTTACTACATTTTTTCACACATTTTCCTAAATAATTGGCTTGGATGGCCTTTCTTATTGTATGGTTTGCGTAGTCTGTAAAAAAGGTTTGTTTGTAGGTGTGAGTGTATGGTGCTGGTGTACACGGAAGGCTGGGGGTTAATCAGCTGCAGTCCGTGCGTGCTTTTGGTTTGTTAAATGGAGTACTACACTGAGTACCTAGTGCTGATGGTGCTGCAGTTACACGGCGCTAGCTACCTGGGTACGGACGGGTGCGATCTACTAGGTAGAACGCAGTAGCAAGTCCTTTCTCTTGACCAGTCCACCAGGAAAACATCAATTGGCGAGTGGTGGGGTTTTTGATATGTACTAGAACTAAGTGGTATCAGGCTTCTGGTATATTTTCCTACGATGTATTTCGTAGTTGCTACGCTGAAATACTCCCCGGTGCTTGGTAGAGCGTTTGGACCTGACGGACTCATATCCCCAACATATATCATATATATATCAACGATGGATACCATACATTCAAATCATATTATACCATAACTGCCGTTGATGTCGACATGCTCGTTACACTAGCGGTAGATGCTTCAATCATTTTTATCCGCCTGTTAGCTAGCTACGCCGAGCTTGCAATCCCGTAAGACGGCGACGGGCGTCGACCTGCGGGGACGCGTACGCGCGTTTGCAGAAGCGGCTCGCGCTCCCAGTCGCGGACTACCACTGCTTCGCCTGCTGGTACTGCGGCCGGGGGCGGTGGGCCCGGCTCGAGGGCCGCCTCCGTTGTTGCTGCTGTTGTTGTTGGTGACGAGATGATTTTGGCCCGCCACCAGACGAAGGATACGAGGGCTAGACCGACGCCGCAGGTGATTCCTGTTAGAACTGTGTTGACGGGGATGGGGTTGCGGTGGAAGTTTCTGAAGGTTAGGGCGTCGAGGCCTGCCTGTGCGAAGTTCCCTACGCCTGCGAGGCAGATGATCAGGCCGTAGACTTTGCCGAAGGTTTGGAAGCCGAAGACTTTGGCTGCGTAGTCGGATACGGTGGTGTAGTAGAAGGGGCGGTAGAGGACGAAGAGGATGATGTTCGCGTAGCTTGCTTCTAGGCTGTGGGGTATGCAGCCTAGGATGCCGATTGTGGTGGCTGTTGTGACGAGGAGGAGGAGCACGAATGGCGTGGAGGCATTGTCGAGGATCGCGCCGATGAATGGGATTGAGAGGAGGCCGCCGACGGGGAGGAGGAAGTCGAAGGTTTCGTTGAGGCGGCGCGCCGCGGCGCGGCTGGAGAGGAGGTATTCGTATTGTTGGCGGATTGTGGCGACGAAGTAGTTGATGCGGAGCATTTGGAGGACGGTGAATAGCATGATTAAGATAAACCATGGGGACTGGATCTGTCGGAGGGCGGAGTAGCCGTGCATGACGCCCCAGATGCCGCTGGGGGGGTCGGGGACGGTACTGGGGCTGGTCTTGAGGATTGTTGGCTCCTCCAGTGCGTCGCCGTCGTTGCTGTGTGTCAGGAGACGCCGGATTTTACTGACGACATTGTGACGTCTCTGGCGACGGCGGTTCCGCTGGCGTTCTCCTTCGCCGGGGTCTCTGATACGGTCATCCACTGTGTCGTGAGCCTCCGCTGCTATGTGCGCCTCCGCCTGTTGGACTAGTTCCCCGGCGGTTTTATACGATGCCACCGGCATGATGGTGGATTGGACTGTTAGGATGAATATAGGGACGATCAGGTAGAACATGAAGAATTTCCTCGAGGTAAATGAGCCGTGCGTGCGCTGGTTGGCAAGGCGGAACAATAGGAACACGGCGCTCGAAGCATCAAATGCACCGGTTAGTGTAGATAGGATAAGCCCCGAGTGGGTCGGAAAGGTGTTGGATAGATGGAACGACGAGATAAAGATGAAGGGTCCCCCAAGGGACAAGAAAAGGTAACCAGGGATGTAGGTATCGAATGGGACGCTGGTTGCCAGTCCAAAAGAGAGTGCCCCAATGATCAGGCACATACTCCCGATCACCCCGCACACGCGGGGGCCATATGTATCCAAAATGGTCCCTACAGGCAATGCGGATACATTTGTCACTACGGCCGCGATGGTGAACATCAGGTTGAGACTGAGAGGTTAGACGCAGACGTTCAACGGAGTAGGGCGACCCACCGAAGCTCCTGTCCATAGCAGACCTCCTGGCTCTGCTCGATCTCCTCCTGTCCACACTTATCACGGTAGACGCCTTCTTGAATCAGGACAGGTTTGATAGCTGCAAAGCCAAAGACAATCCCCGCAGAAAGGAAGCAGTATATCACTGCGATAACGACTTGCACTGTATACCATCAGCATCCTTCAGTGATCACGGGACCACACCACGCGTTCCCAATGCATTATTTTACACTACGGATGGCAAAGCAATTGCGAACATACATATACGTTTGAGACGAGACACCTCGAAGGCACCCTTTGTCTCAAGGACACCTTCTTGGACGTCGAAATCCAAAGGCTGTTCTCCCTCTTGCCCCACCCCTCCGTCAACCCCAACGGGCCGAGGCGTCGAAGCACCGAGGAGAGATTGCCGGTCATCGGTGCCGTCATCCACCGCTTCAGTCCATCCCGGACCAGCGTACGGGTTGAAGTTCACGCGATGTCGCGAAGCAACAGGATAGCTGAAGTTTGAGCGAAATGACGACGACAAACTGTCGTCTGGGAGATCCTGACCCAACTCATCTTCGGAGTCTGATCCTATGACCTCATCACGCTGTCGCTGGAAGATTGATGCCGGGTTCTGCACCCACGACTCCAAGTAGGAAACTCGGGGTAAAGACATACTCCGTCCCTCTTATTAGCCCTTCATCACTGGGTTAGACAAAGGAGCCTATCATGGAAGTCGACACGGAAAGATGGAGACCTTGTGGGTCCAACCGGCCTCTTGCTGCTAGCGGTTCCCCAGCTAGATGATCGTGGCCCTTGCGATGAGCAGGGGGATTTCAGGGATGAATCAGATAAGGATCAACAAGAAGTGAGATGACCCAAAAAACCGAACTTGTAGCTCAAAACAGATGACAAGAAAGGTACCAAGGAGGCGATTGTCTCCTTGATGTCGTGATGATGCGATGATCAATGATGAGGCGGGACAACCACTCACCGCCCAGGTCACCTGACGCGCGTCTCTCCCCGCGATGAGTCAGCAGGCATATCAAACGGGACCGTCAAACAAGACAAACAGGCGTTGTTGACCTGCCACCCCGTACACTAACTAGTAACTACTGCTGCTACTTCCTCCTGATCGTTGTCCCGTCTTCTCCTCAAATCTCTCCTGAATGGATACATCTAAATGATGATGCTCGTCATGTGGGCCTCCTTCATATATCGATCCATTGGGATTGACACCCCGGTCTCCCGTTATCACCTCCTAATTTATCATCCCCACTTCTCGACTACGGATACCCCAGTAGCTAGTTAGCTCACCGAGGACTCGGAGAATACCCGGACTCATGGAGATAAACTATTTGGTTCCAAAGTCCTTAACTTCTCCAATCGGAGTCTAGACTGTCTTGCGCTTTGAATGAGGCTAATGAACTCTATGCAATAGCGATCCTCGTGGTTGACGTGGACCAGAGATTACAGTAATGATAGGCGTCATTCTGGACAGCTTGACCGATTACACAATCCATCGAGAGCAAGCTGTCGGTTCACGAAGATGGGATCCATGCCCTATGGACGTGGTTGATCCCGACGGGTGTGGTTAGTTTACCGTTGATCTCTCGACCGTGTAAGGGGGTGTAAACCAGCCGTGAGCTATTTTACCGGGTGAACGTGGGAAAACAGCTGTTGAACCACTGATACTCAATCCTTCTCCAACTACGGAGCAGCCCAAGGGTCCCGCTACTACTGCGCCTAGTAGATATGGCCAATGTGACTAGTGCCAGTTTGGGCTAAGGGGCAACCTTTCCTCACGAGGGATTATGCATGCAACGGGCTAACTAACCCAAGGCCAGTGTTGGCTCCGCTTCGCTCGCTGCACACCAAGAGAGTTTGGAAATGGTACCAGAACGCCACAGAAAGAGGACCAGTGCAATTTTATGTCCCAGTCTATTGTTCGCCCCCCTCTGACCCAAGGGAATGAGGAATGGGAATCTTCCGGCCCGCAGAGCTTTCCGCTTCTAAACTCATGAGTATTTCCTATTTCGGGCAATGATCGGTGGGCACATAACCATGCGCTGGCCGGGGAGAACACAGTTTGACTGCATGGTTATCTCATTTGGAGAGCTCTCGGGACCCTATCAATGGAGGATAATCGTGCTACAACTCCAAGGGTGCCCCTCTCCCCACACGCACACATGTCCATCCTACAGAATGCCTACACGCATAGGCTAAGGGCAGGATCACCTTGGGCTAACTGGGGGTTTACGCCGGGGATTTTCGCACCAGCCTCTCTGCGTTCACGCCAAGAGGGAGATCTTCTCATTCTCCTCCTCCTTCTCTATCAGTGGTGGTTTCTACGTTGGGATTTTTTCTGGTTGGCTCGGAGGGGGAATTGGTGACTTTCCTCCACTCTGCACGAACCATCCATCTTTTGGGCCATGCTTTAGCCGTTGAACTTGAGGCTTCTACCCATCACAGTCGCTGTCACTTGAAGTCATCACATCCTACCTGCATTCAAGTCTTTATTGCTGTCTGTTCCCCTCCGCTTCTCCCCATCTTTTGTGGGCATTCGATCTTCCCTCAAATTCTTTGCTTTTCGTTTCTTTTCCTCTTTGCTTTATTATTAATCTTCCCTTTTTTCTAGTTTTTTTTTTTTTTTCTATTTTTTTTTTGTAATCTTCTTAATTTTCTAATATCTAT